TCATCTGACAAATGGGGATAATAACAGTGCTTAATAGATACAGTTGCTGTGAGCATTAAATACCATGTGTGTAAGTGGCTGGCACACTGCAGGGGGCGGGCAATGATGGCCTGTGGGCTTGCCACCTATTGTGTATGGCCCATGAGCTAAGAACAGTTTTTACACGTTTTAATTGTTGGTGTAAAAAAAAAACAAAACAGAATGATATTATTTGCTGACATGTAAAAGTGATATAAAATTCAAGTTTTAGTGTCCATAAGTTAAGTTTTATCAGAACACAACCGACCATTTGTTTAGATATTGTCTGTGGCTGCTTATGTGTGGGCCCTGGTGTCTCCCCGTCCCCCAACGCCAATCCCTCACCTCTCTTGGAGTCACCTGTACGGCTCCAGGACTTGCAGTAATGGGGTCCTTGAGGGTCCCAGTGGATGGGCACTGACTCTAGTGGTTGGCCCCCAACAACCAGTGTGGGCAGAGTTGAGTAGTTGTGACAGAGATCGGAGGCTATATTGTTCAAAAAGAGTAAAATAGTTATTATTTAGCCCTTTGCAGAAAAAATTTACCAACCCCTGTAATAAGTGCCTCACACTTAATAAGTGATCAGTTAAATGTATCAATGGTTACTATTATTATATTAATACTCTTATTGTCCTCTTTTGGTCTAGTTTTAACTTTCAGGTACCAATGCTTATGGCTTCATGGAGAGATTCTAAAACTAAAGTCCATGGAAGGGTTTTAGGGAGGTCTTTAAATCTCCAGAATTTCTATGCAGATTTTTGTAGTGGGATCTTTTGTGGGGAGGGGCTTGATAGCACTCATCTCATTCTCAAAGGGATTTGTGTTCTCAAATAGGTAAAGAAGTGTAGGTTTGATGCCTTCCTCGCCCCAGGCAAATTGATCTGTACTTTCCCTGGGCTGTCTGGAGGCAACATCTGTGAGGGTGAGATATTTGGGGGCTTTGGGGTCTTCCTCAGAGTCCATCTGCCTGCTCTGAGGGGCCTGAAGCGCAACAGGAATAAGCTGCCCTGGCTTTGGAGCAGGCTGAATCCTGGCCTTGCCCTCCACTGGCTGGGCCCCTTGTCTGAGCCTCCATTCCCAGGCTGGGCTGTCATATGGGTGAATTCAGTGATGTCTGAGTGCTCACTAGAGTGTCTTGCACACATAGGTACTGCAGAAATGTTAGCTGCTATTATTATTACTATTATGACCCCCATCCTTGCATATTCAAAAGCTCTTTCCTCAGCTTGCCTGGGGCCATAGAAAGATGCCCCATAATTGGTTAAATATGAGGTCTGAATACCCCTTGAGAGCTCTTGATCTGACTCATCTGTGGCACTAGCAATTAAGACAGGTCCATTAAACATATTCACATGATCACTGTGCAAAATAGCAGGCCCCCAATTAAGTTTTTAAAAGTCCAGTGGCCTCACTTGAACAGGGACAATGGTAAACGTTCCTAAGAGTGAAACAAGTGAAATCTGAAACTTCTCTGTTGCAAAAGCCTTGGCTGTGTCAGACTTTTCTCCTTTTTTCCCCCTAAGGAGTGAGCCTGGACCTCAAACTTGGATCTATTTTCCTCCTAAAATGCTTCTCCGTGGAGCCTGGCTCCCCAGTCCAGTCATCCACAGCTAGCAGGTTCATTCCAGAGCCCAGTGTCCAGTGTCAGGAGGGCTGGGAGCATCCTTGCCCCTGGGCTGTCCTGGAGAAGGGCCCCGTGGACACAGTCTGGTCCATGGCCAGCCTGGCCGGGTGTTGCCTGCCCCCAGTTGCCGGGTGTAGTCCCATTCAGCAGGGGCCTGTGGCTCCAGACAACAGCTGGAGACCAGAAACGAAGACTTCCAGTTACAAGCAAATGTTGCTGCTTCCTGAGGTTGAAATAGTCTATCCCCCAAGTGCCCCTTTCAGCCAAGCAAAAACAATTCCCCACAGGGACCCGACCCTGCCACAGAGGAACAAAAGTTCTCCAGTTCTCAGAGTCCCATAGACTGTCTGCAGTTTCAGGCACTCACAGCCCAGGGGGGAGAGGAGATGATCATGTGATTTCCAAGCTTGGAGACAAGGTCACCCTTGTCCAGCCCTTTTTGTCCCCACAGGAAGAAAAGCCTTTGATTGCTTGACAAAGGATGAGGCTGATGCTGCCCTGGTGTTGGCTCCCAGATGGGTGGGTTTTACAATGTCCAAAGCTCTCAAAACAAGTAGATGAGGTCAAGGCCAGTGGTCCCCAAAGTCCACTCAGGTGGGCTTGGGGGCTCTTCCACATCCCACTTTAGGCAGGACAGCTGCACATTCTGGCTGCATTCATTTTTCTGCTGTAGGCTAATCTGTCTTTAAGAAACTCACCAGTGAGGCAACCCCATTTGTTTTCTACCAGCCATTAAAAATATTTTCCTTCAGAATATATTTGCAAATGATACATCTGATAAGGGTGGGTAACCAAAATATATAAGGAACTCATACAACTCAATAACAAAAAATAAATAAACTATCCAATCAGAAAATGGGCAGAGGATATAGAGACATACATACAAATGGCCAACAGGCATATGAAAAGATGCTCAACATTACTAATCAGGAAAATGCAAATCAAAACCACAATGAGACACCATCTCCCATCAGTCAGAATGGCTATTATCAAAAAGTATACGAATAACATGTGTTGGCGAAAATGTGGAGAAAAGGGAACCCTTGTGCACTGTTGGCGGGACTGCAGATTGGTGCAGCCACTATGGAAAACAGTATGGAGATCCCTCAGAAAACTAAAAATAGAGCTGTCATATGACCCAGCAATTCTACTTCCGGGTATTTATCCAAAAACAAACAAACGCTAATTGGAAAAGATATATGCACCTTTATGTTCATTGCAGTAGTATTACAGTAGCCAAGATATGGAAGCAACCTAGGTGCCCATCGATAGATGACTGGATAAAGGAGATGTGATACACACACACACACACACACACACACACACATACACACACACACATACACACGAAGATTGCTCAGCAATAAAAGAGAATGAAATCTTGCCATTTGTGACATGGATAGACCTAGAGAGTATTAGGCTAAGTAAAATAAGTCAGACGAAGAAAGACAGATATCATATGATTTCACTTACATGATATCTGGAATCTAAAAACTAGCACACAAATGAACAAAGGAAACAGCCTCATAGAAACAGATCAAACTGATGGTTGCCAGAAGGGTGGAGGGTGGGGGGAACTGTGAAGGGGAATATAGTAGGCAATGTTGTGATAACTTTGCATGGTGACCAATGACTACTAGACGTAGTGTGGAGATCACACTGTAAGGTATATAAATGTTGAATCACTATAGTGTACACCTGAAACTAATGTAATATTGTATACCAACTATACTTAAATTTTTAAAAAGTCAAAAAATATTTTCCTTCAGGGAAGGAAAGAGCTTCTGGGAAAGAGAGAAAGAAAGCTCAGAGAAGAGAAACACTCAAGTGAAGCCGGCCTTTCAGATGCCATCATATTGCAACCGCCACAGCAGGGTTAGGGCAGGCTGGTGTGGGTGCAGGCCAAGGTCAGCTGGGGAGAGGACAGAGGGGAAGAGGGGGCACAGACACCATGTCAAGGGAATGTGCCTGCCAGAGAACTACAGTAAGTCCTCACTTAACGTCGTCGGTAAGTTCTTGGAAACTGCAACTTTATGTGAAATGAAGTATGAGGAAACCAATTGGACTGCAGGCTAACTGATACAGAATTAAGTTCCTATGGCATATTTCTAGTCACAAAAGCATCACCAAACTTCTAAATAAAGACCTTTCAAAACACTTCTAATACTGCACATTGAAATAAATGTGTACCTTAGGTACTTCCTTGTTCTTAACCCTTGCATCTACTCTAGAATAACAAGGAATAGCTACCATTTATTGAAACTATAGTACAGGTAATATAGTAATATAGTTTCAATCACAACCCTATGCTATACTCGCCCCAGGTACTATAATCGCCCCTGACGGATGAGACCGTAGGCACACAGGCTGAATCACTCACCCAAGGTCCTCTGGTACATGGTAGGGTTGGGATGTGAGCCCAGGCAGTCGGACCCAAGTGCCTACTTGGGGTCTATGTGTGTAGCCAGCTTACTCTTGCCTAGGTCCTCCCCTCCCTCCACAGTGCTGGTTTGGGGGGCTCATTTATGCATCTATGAGCTTCTGATTAGCCCCCTCACCCTTGGTCTTACTCCACTCCAATCTGTTTTTCCTATTGCAAGTAAGAAATCCTTCTAAACTAGGAATCTGATGTCACTCCTCCACCGAAATCCTTCAAAGTCTCCCTGTTTTACACATCCTGGCCTCTCAGCAAATGCATGGTGGGAGCTGAATCCTGTAGGCTGACTCTAGGGCTGTGCTCTCAACTGCCATCCCAATGCTCTTCTCTAAGCCTCAGTTTTCTCACTGGCAAAATAGGGGCAACAGTACCTGCTGAAAGGGCTGTGAGGTTACGCACAGTGCCTGACAGGGGTGCGGGGAGCAGGGCAGGCAGCTCACACGGAGCTTCCATCAGTGTTATTGAAAAGGAAAGGGTGGGGAAAGGGAGAACTGGTCGCTCTGAAAGGCAAGACGAATTCCACGTGGGACAGTAATTACGTTAGTGCTTTAGATACATGTTCTCACTCTTCATCACCTTCTGAAGCACAGATACCATTACATTTTACAGGGAGGGGAAACTGAGGCTGAGAAGTGGACTGCTCAACTCAAGGTCAAATTCAAGCCCAGGTTTTTCTCAGTGCAGCCTCGTGCTTGTCCCCGAGAACTGCCCCCGTCTCCACTGTATGGGGTGTTGATTTGGAATTCCAACTCTTTCCGATCTTACTAACTGAAGAACAACTGTGGGCCAAAGCTGCAGAGAGGCTTGGCACAGAGTTAAGAACAGCAGAGGACTTTCCAGTACGTGACACCATCCTTGTTTGGGGGGCTCTTGGAGCATGCGCCCATAAAAACAACAAGCCAGGGCCCATCGCCCTGTATCTACAACAATGAGAATATTTATTTTCTCCAGGCAGTAAAAATAACATTTTTCTCTCTTTTGTAAAAGTTAAGTACCATTACATTCCATTTTCTTAAATAACAAAATCCTAAAAATATATATTAAATTGTATACAGTGCGTCACACTTCATTTTATATTTTAAAATACATGATGTTTCTATTTTATTCTCAAAGTTGCATATTAAGAGCATATTTACAAATAAAGCCTTGTCATCCAGAGTCAAGTTCCCCATGGGAAGGTGAGTCTGGACGTGGGCAGGTCTGGATGCTGCGTGAACCCTGCGGCAGCAGCTCCTCACCACGTGCTCCTGAAGACACATCCTTTCTGAAGCAGTAGATTTGCCTAGGACTTCCCTCCATACCCCACTTCTGTCTCGTTGAGTATGTTGGACTCGGCAAGACAGAGGAGCCTGTGCAATGGGCACCCCCCTGGTGTCTGCAGGCAGAGGGTGAGGCCCTGTCACCCCTGAGCCGGCCAGCCTGAGGGGAGGCAGCTGCGGCTGGAAGGTTTGAGAAACACCCCACGCCAGGGCAGCTAAGCTGAGAGACCTGGCCAGGAGGTAGAAGGGTAAGGAAGGTAAACAAAGACACCAGAGGAAACGATAAAGGTTAAAAATTCCCAAGGTAGTAACAAAAGCAGATATCAAACACCAAATAGGAGATTCGAAACCCAAGAGGGTGCCAGCTGACTGGGCTATGGAGTAGGGAGCTGGGCTCGCTCTGTGGGGGACATGGGGTGGCCTCGTCAGGCAGGGGAGACGGGATCTCGGAGGCTGGCCACTAAGTGCTCGTGAGGATTAAGTGCCAGGACACACGGAGGCTTGGCGACACCTGCATGCCCTGTTGTGTTGGGACAGCCTGGCCAGATCCTTAGCTGGGTCAGGCCAACTCCTGCCTTGGGCTGACAATGGGCGTGTGGGTGAGGCCTTCCCCACAGGTTTGGCCTGAGGTCCAGGATAGCTGTATTCATTAGTGCTTTGATCTCTGTGGGTTTCTGGCTGATTGGAGTCTTGAGCCAGAGCCCACACTCCAGAAATTACAGCAACCCAGTTACCTCACTTACACCCAGAGAGGCCTCACCCAGTTCTGACATGGGGGATGTGGGGGAAGGAACCCGGGGTTCCCTCCTACTCCTCTGCTCTGTAAGCAGTGACACGTGGGGAAGAACACAGAGCACCGAGTGCCTTCTAGAGGGGCCAAGGACACTGTGAAATATGGCTGAGAAAAGGCGCATTTGCCACGGGAGGAAACAAGAGCAGCCGCCAGGGGCCTTCCCTCATGTTGGGATACACGCTGAGAGGGCCGGCCCTGGGTGACAGCAGGGAACGGGATGAAGAGGGCACACAGGTCCTGAGGCGCCCACCTACAGCATCCTCCACTCACCTACCTCAGGGCAGAGGCTGTGGACAGGGAGCCTGCTGTCCAGGGTGGTCCCCAGAGCCCCCCCCCCTTCCTTTCATAATCTTCTGCTATGTGACCTATAATGGACTTTTCTCAGGGTCACCCTTTCTAATCACTTCCAACCCCACTTTCTCTCTTCTAAAGTAGTGTCTTAAAAGATCAAGCGCTTCCTCCTTCAATGCTCCTGAAGCACACCTCACCTCTTCTGGGACAATTTATTTCTCAGGTGTTTACTTAGCCACAGGGGACCCTCTGTGGGGTGTTGTTGATAGGTTCCAACCAAGACCATGCACAGGCTGTGGCCAAGGAGTGTGTGGAGGTTTGGCCTGAGACAATTTACAGCTCTCTCCCCCCATGCTGCTGAAGCTGGTTTGGGCTTCCCGTGGTCCCTCCCTGGACAGTAAGTCGATCCTGGTGGCACTGGGTTGTTCCAGGACCAGCCAGAAGGAGAGCACTGGGGTGTCACCAGCACTTCCAGGATCTCTGAGGAAGGGCTGATCCTGCTGCAGGCTCAGACAACACACTAACTTGGGGCTTGGCCCCTGTGACCAGTGTGAGGTGAGCAGGGCAGGCAGGTGGCCCCAAAGGCCAGTGATCACAATAAGCCTTGGGCAGCTGAACAATTGGCTCTCGGCTGGGTGAACCCTTTGCGAAATTCCACATTCCCTTGGTGCCACGAGTGGGTCTATTCACAGCTCAGTGCCCTTTGTGACTCCACACCTGACACTTTGTGTTTGAGAGGAGATTCCTCAAAAGCCAGGAATAGCTTTGAAGGGAGACAGCACATGTCAGTGTATATCCAGTGGTCCTTGTATGGGACAGACCTCTGTCTCCAGACCCAGGGGCCTGCAGACAGCTGCTCCCAAGTAATCGCCCTTTCCAGATCAAAGTGTGAAGACAGCACCAAGCAGATCCATGCTCATCGTGGGCGCCACATGGTGCCGGGGGCAGTGCCCCTACCCTTCTGTGGACACACTGCCCCATTTCCCTCTTCTGAAGGCCCCTCTGCTTGCCAGCTCTTAGCATCTCTCCTGGTTGCCAAGTGTCACCTTTCCCTGCAGACACCTCCCAGCTGTCCCCATTCGGCCCTCTGTTTTTCTGGCAGCAGCCAGTTAATGGCAGAACCCCAGGAAGTGCTGGGGCAGGCACTTGGGGACTTGGGGAATGTAGGCAGAGTGCTCCAAGAGGGAACCTGTGAGGCCAGAGGCACAGCAAGACCCAAGGCTTGAGCGCCTTAGGGAGAGTCATGTTCTGACCAAGGATCAGGCCCAGCCTTCAGAGGCACAGGCTGCTCTTCTCAGCTGCCGTTGACAAAGCCTGCTTTTGGGTGGTGGGCACTTCTAAATTGGAGATGGCACTGACTCTCACAAGCAGTGGCCACTGCATTTGCAGCTCTCAATTTTCAGAGGCCTATCTTCAGGGGGTCTCCAGTTACCAAACCCTCCCTCTCACTCCTCATGTCATCTCTGTGATTCACCTCCCCACCTGAAGGACAGGGTAGTGTAGGACTAGGGGTAACAGCCCACTCCTTCCCCACCAAGTCATTCCAAACCCCACTCTGTTCCCATAAGAAGGGGCAGGCTGAGGGGTGACTTTCATCTTTTACAAAGAGGGACAGCTAAAGGAGGGGCTGCTGGCACCCTGACTCACATTATGCTGCCTAAATGCCACACCATGATATTTATACTCCCTGTTCTGAACTGAGAGTCAGCTTAGAGAATCATGGAGAGATGAAGGCCAGGTTCAGGTGCCACAGGACCCCACGCTGTTTGGGGGCAAGGCCAGACAAATCCAATCCAACAAGGAATTACTGAGCACCTATAAAAGCTTCTAGCAAAGTCTGCTGTGTGACTAAATCAGTGGATGTTTTATAGGACCACTCCACAAGCTGGCTGTGCTGGTCACCAAGCTATGGAAAGAAGCCCAAATGTGGAAGATTTCAGGTTTGACATGAGTGGGGGTCAGCAGACCTAATTCACAGGCTGTCCAAGGTTGGAGGAGGCCTCTTCTCATCTAGCACCTGGAGAGCAAAGCCGCAGTCAGCACAGAGCACAGGCTCCCTTGAGGGTTTTGGGGATGCTAACACCCAGGAGTAGAGGACCAGGCCAACCCTCAAGAGAACCTCAGAATTCTCCATCTGGCCCTTTTCCAAACCATAAAGACTGGGAGAAAATGATCTGTGTGTGGAGAGAACAGAGAAGAAGCGAGTATGACTCAACACACACTACACTTACCCACCACCCGACAGTCACCTAGAATGTACCCGAGACCAGTGCCAGACACGGCATCTTTGTAATCTCAGCCCCCATGCCCTGACACGCCCACTCCTGGATCAGAGAGAGAGACACACGCACAGGAGGGTCCGGACCTGGGACCCTGAGTCTCTCCAAGTGCAGCTGAAGAAGCAGGATGGATCCGGGCTACGCCTACCCTGAAGCAGGGCGCCCCTTCCCAGTCCACTGGCAGGTGCCTCAGAAGAGGCCAAGGGAGGGGCAGGGAAGAGTTCTTCAGGAGACACCATGGGAGGGGTGGTCCCTGTGGCCTTGAGCTCAGAGGAACCTCCTGTCCTGGGCGTGGGGGGAGCTTTTAGTCACTCACAAGAGGGTTACGGTCATCTTGTTGACTCTGACCCTTGAGCTTCTTCTTAAAGATGGAAATCGAAGTAGAAGGCTTATAAAAAATGCTCCAGATTTCCCCTGACGTCCCTGGTTGATGACAATCCCTAAGGTCTCCTGAAGCAGGAACACGGTGTGATCTGTCAAACAAAAAAAATTGGAGTTCTCTGTGTCCAATAGAAAAAGCATCCCAAACAACCTACCATCTCATGAGACACCTGTACCTGTGAAATGGGACTCTCAGTGAGGCGAGGTCATGGGAAAGATCTAATAGCTGCCTTTAGAGATCTGAAGGACTATTGTGCCGACAAAACATGTCCTGTGGGGTGGGAGTGCAGCGGGGCAGATTCCAGCTCAGTTTAACAAAGAATTTTCTAACTCGCAGTATTACTCGAATCTGGAAAGGGCTGTATTGAGACACATTATGAGTTTTCAAATTCTTGGTGTTTTTTAAAATAGAAGAACTCTTTCTTTAAATGACATTTACCCAGAAGCTCACCTAGTTAAAACGGGACAAAGGCAGAACCACTCTGCTTGAAGTGGGTCCTGCTTTACCACCAATGCTGCATGGCAGGGAAGCTGCAGAGGGATTCCAATGTCAGATGGGAGGCAGACATGTAATTTAGGGCCTCAGCATGCTGTGAACTGCTGGGTCCTATAGGAAGCCTCCTGCTCTCCTGCTGCTGTAGGAGACATGTGGTCAGGACTGTGCCTGAGAGGCTTCCAGAACACGTGAATTGTGACTTAAAAAAAAATCATATATATAAATTGGCATGTGAGTGGGCTCCGTAAACAATAATGACAGTGTTTCCACTGAAAAATGTAAAGCGCAGGGTGGAGAGGCCTATGGGTGGACCCAGTGTGACCAAGGGCAGCCTTCCCAGGGCAATGGAGGAGCCATCATTTAATGTATAAAATGGCAGAGGGCTAGTGAGAAGGCCTTGAAATGCAGATAGCCTGTATATCAATTATATCTCAATAAAACTGAAGAAGAAAAAAGGGAAATGGAGAGAGCCTGGACAGGGAACCACAGGAAAGACAGAGTGGAAGTCTAGAAAAAAATTAGAAAGGACTCCCCTCCATAAATACACAAACTTCAGGAGCCCCTTCCTTCCCTTATGACATGTTTTTTTCCAAATGTTTTTTTCCAAATTGGTCAGAATTGAAGGACAATGCTTCCTAAGCTTCTTTTAAAAAATGCCTTAAAATGACTATTAAGCAATAGTTAATAAAATGTTAGAATTCTCTTCCTAATAATGTTTCCCAGTTTTTAGAAGGCATCAGGATATATGCATGGTATTGTCCTAGCAATCTTTGCTCTTGCATCAAGAACTCTTCAAGACAGGAGGCAAAAAATGGAAACTGTTGGTTTTTACGTCCAGGCTGTTTCAATCCTCCTTGAAATTGTATCCTTTGGATACAGGAGCAAACACAATCCTTCAAACCTTAGTGACATTTGTCCAGTTGTACATTTCACTCTACAGAGAATGAGAAATGTCTACTATCCGATGTTCCCTAGGACTAAGGGCTTTCGGATCATGTTCTGATGTTACACTTTTACCCAGACAAATGAAGCACAGTAGACAAGGAGCTCTGAGCCTTCACTCCTGGAATTGGGCAGCTCTGTCGTACTCACTTGAATGTGACGTGAAGAAGTATCTTTGCTACAATGGCTGTGACTGTGAGGATGAGGAGAGTTGCCAGGCCATACACGGTCCATCCTGCAAGTGCAAAAGACAAGGTTCATCAGACCTCTTTGAGCTCAGCTTTCAGAAGGAAACCCTGAGTGAACGCTGGCAGCCCCAGAGAGGCAGGTCTGGCCAAGGAGCTCCTTGCAGGTGGGAACAGCCACCAAATGTAGCTAAGAGCCAGGTGGGCATGGAGTCCCAGCCTTCTGAGCACCTTGCCTGGCTTTAGAGCTCCCTCTTGGAGAGAGGCAGGTGGTGTGGTCCAAAATGCACTGGACTCAGAGTTGAAAGTGGTGGTGTACATTCTGTCTCTACTACTAGATCCACTGCGAAACCACAGATGAGTTACATAAACTCTGTGGGCCTCAGTTTCCTCATCTGAGGAATGAGATGTGTTACCTGTGAAATCCTATCAGGATACACAAACAAATGATGTGGGGCAAGCAATGGAGAGGCTCTCATCCCTGACCTTCTGTGGAGGGTCCTGCAGAGGACCTGGAGAATAGTCTGAAAATCTCTAGGCTAACTAATTGCTAACAATACACTAGAGATCTTTCAGCTCATAAAGGCCCCAACTTCCTTGGCAGAAAAGAGAATAGAAGACTGTCCCAACCAAATTGGCCAGCTTAAACCACAAGACCATCATCCACTCTCTGTCCTTCCCCTGCATGACTTTTCTTCATAGCTCTTACCACTATCTGACTTTTAATTTTCCTTCTTGTCTTTCTCTTCCCACTTATAAGCTGCTGGAGAGCAGATTTTGTTTGGTTCATTGTATAGTCCAGTGCCTAAGACAGCACCTGGCACCATTAAAGCACTTACATATCTTTTAAATGAATGAATGAATGAATGAATGAATGAATGAATGAATGGATGAATGAATAGAATGCTTGAAATTGCCAATTTAGGGAGCTACAACTTGGGGCTCTAGAAAAATATTCTCAGCGTGATAAAACTCTGGATTAGCTGATTAACCACAATGTACAAAAGGCACACATGTTGGCTCTATGGAGGTGAGCACTTTTCCTAAGGACTAAAGAGTCAAGCTAACGAGAACATGTCTCTCAAAGGCCAGGACAAACATAGTGACAGAGCCAGGACCCCCAACCTGCCTTGGAATGAGAAATACTCAAGAGCTCTCTAATTCTGTAACTGCCAAGAAAGCTGCCTTCCAGCTCCTTGGCTTCCACCCCCTTTGATGGTGTTCAGTAACTGCTACCTGGGACAGTCTGTGGTGGGTGGCTGGGGCTGGTGGTGATGACGTAAAGGACTTTGGAGGACCGGGCAGCACTGATGCTGAGGTTTGCCTGCTCCGTGATCACTTCGGCTAGTGTCTGGTTGGCAGTGGGCCTCTCTTGTGGCGGTTCTTCCTTGATGGCTGGAAGATCAAAAGGAATTAACTGTGGAAAAGCTGATAAAGACAATAAAGAGCTATGGAGGAGGAGGCATTGGTTATGTAGAGGAGCTATTGGTTAGATAGAAAGGTTGTTTTCATTGATCCAATTCTGGGTGCAATTCTCTCTACTGTTCCCCAAACAGAACCTGTCAGTCCTTGGCTCTGAAGGAGGCAGAAGGAATGAGCTGTTAACTTCTAATCATTTGGTCTGTTTGTGGACATCTGAGCCTACTTTATCGTTTTCCAATCCTTGTACTTTTGCAGCTATGGCTCCTTCTGCCTGAAGCCCTCTTCTTTCCTATCTATCGACCCAAATCCTCCTGTTCTTCAAGACTGTCCTGCCTGTGGGGAGGCCTCCTCCCTCTGACTCCTTGTAGCACACGCTGACTGAGCTCTTCTTGAAACCCTTGACATCTAGGACAAAGACTAGGTCTTAGACACCCTGCATTTCTCAAGTGCTGGCAGAGACATGCCCAGAACATGTGTCCACATTAGAGAGGCAGAGAGTGGGGTCCATCTAGGAGGATTTGAAGAAAGATGGGAAACCACTCTTTTGGGACTGGCTGAGATCCTGAGAGGCAGAAAGAAGGACCAAATGATCAGGAGAGGCAGAAGGAAGGACCAGCTGACCTCCTTAGAGCCTTCCAATTCTACCAACTTCAGCTCTTTCTTTTGGTTGTTCTTTTAACCCTCCCATGAAAACTGTCATTAGAACTACTAACATGGCAAAATTGACAGGCTTTACATCTTTTCTGTATCATGAAACGTATACAAGTTATGAAATAGGAGATGGGAAAATCTGGAAGTTAAGTCAGTAGCTCCTGACTAAGACCTCCTGGCAAGAACTGCCCAAGGTCCACAGGTCACAGGGTGTGCAAGAGGAGCCTGAGGCATGCAGGGAAGTCTTACCTTGGTACAAGACAGCAAATCCTTGGGCCTGATTGATGCGATCAGAGAAGAAATACAGAATGACAAAATCCAGAGAGACATTAAAGGACAGAGGTGGGCGGTTCCTTCCATTGAAACGGACCAGGACTCGGTGGGTGTAGCCATCCAGTAGCTCCACCATGTCTGCAGAATCCCTGATGTCAAATAAGATGAAGTTGAAGTGGATGTGGGAGGCTCCTGGCACCCTAATGGTCCAATAGCAGACCCTCCCTGTGGCGTAGGTGTCAGGAAAGTCAGGGGAATAGACAACAGATGTCATGGCCGAGTAATTTCCACCGCAGGCGCCAACGAGAGCTGTGGAAGACAAAAGGATACCGGCCCTCAGCCTGGGACTCAGCCACAGGGCTCACTTTCCAAAAAGTTACAAACAAAACTCTTCTGAATGAATGTGATCCAGCTTAGGATATTGTTTTTTGTCTATAAAACCAGACTGTCTTCTGTTTCAGGATCAAATCACAAAATGAATCACTTAAACCCTGAACAAATGACTTTGGAAGCTTTTTTTTTTTTTTGCCCAGGAGATCTTAGAATTAGCACACAGTACAGTGGTGTGACCGAGGTGGGGGCCAGGCTGGAGTCAGAGAGTCTGGGTTTGGGACCAGCTGAGCCATGTGATCCTTCACTTCCAGGCCTGTCGTTTCTCTCAGTTTTGAGGATGGAGAGATCACCACCTGCTCTTGTATCACATGAATATGTGAGGACAGATGAGATAAAGCACATGAAAACACTGGGACCTCTTTGCAGAGGAGGAACTCCATGAGGTAAAATCATGAAAAGAGAAGGGCTTTACAGCACTGGGGCATCCCTGATACCTTAGAGGTGAAATGCACACATGAGGGTCCACACGAAAAATTACTTCCTGCCTGGAGGAGACTCACTTGGTTCTGATCACTCTGTATTAATTAGCACATCTGATTTCTCTGGATTCTTGTTTTTGACCTGCAGGTTCTAGGAAGGGTATACACCCACTTGACCGTATCTTAGGTGGTGAAGTGTAAACAAGGCCCTGGAAGTGAACGTCCTTGAGAGGGAGTGTAGGGCTGGGATTTAAAAAGCTTTGGGGGAGTTCTGCTTCCCTTTAGGATGCAGAAAGCAGTAAGAGGATGCTGCTTCCATCCAAACAACAAGAAAAAGCTCAAAACTTTACCAACCTATCCGAAAGCTGAAGTCTGCAGACAAAGGGAATTTAATTCTAAACAGTAAGAAGCCCCTCCAAGCAGAGTCAGGCCACACAAAAGTGTTTCATCTTTGACAGAGCAGGAGAGGAAGAGGTAGCTGCCACAAAAGCAAGTAAGAAGAAAGCAGCTAAAATTTTAACAAATTCCTAAAGTTCGAGTGTGGGCCAGCCTTTTAGTCTAGAAAACAGGGAGCCCCAGACCACAGGGGTCTGCACTCACTGCAGGCAATTCTGGGCAGGCCTCCACCCAGAGCCCACCAGAGTCCCCCTCCCAAAGGTACCAAAGCCTTAAGCTACTGGGAGAGGGGCAGCAAACCCTCTTGCTCCCAGAGCCAAGGTAGAAACAAAACCTGTTTACCCCTGGGGAGGAGGGAGTAGGAAACTCTCTCCTTTCTGCCAAAGCAACCAGGCAAAGATCTGCTTCTGGGGGAAGAGCAGAGGCAAAAACCATCAGCCCCTGGTTGCCCTGAGCCCCAGGATCCTGCACCAATGAAAGCAGGGGCAGGAAACTCTCCTTCCCAAGAGCAACCACAGATGCAAGACAGTGTTTAGCTGCCAAGGAGAGGGAGGGAGTGCAGGGATGCTGAAAAGGTCCCACCCTGAAGCCCAGTAACATGTCCTGTCTAAGACTGAGGATGGACAGGAGAACCAAGACAGTCTCCACCCCCGGCCTCACAGAGTAACAGCAGTCTACCATTGGTGGGGGAGATCCCCTCTGTGGCATAGGCATATAGAAACTGCTCAAAGCTGAGGGTGAAACAGGAACACTGAAAAAAAACCCACTGGCATCTCAGGCGCCACACTAAGCACACAGCAACAGCAGCTCATCACTGAAGGAGTCTGAAGCCTCATGTGCGTTGAAGATGATGACAGAAACAAGAAAACCCAACCCAGCTCACCACTGACAGGAAGGCTCAATCCCCACTAAGCAGGCCTGTCCCTTTTCAGGTGTCAGTTCTATTTACCCTAGTCTCTGCTTTCTTCTATACATCATTTATGGCATAAAATATTACAACACACACTTAAAAGCAAGAAAGTCAGCAAGCAAGAAAGAAAAAGGGGAAAAAGACTCATTGTCAAGAGACAAAACATCTGGTAAATATATATATATATATATATATATATATGTATGTATATATACCTCAAATCATTATGTTGTAAACCTAAAACAAACACAATGTTGATTACATCTCAATTTTCAAAAAGGAGAGAGAAAACAATCCACAGAGCCAGACTCTATAATGACCCAGACATTAGGACTACCAGAGACTACATGATTAATACATAAAGTACCTAGTGGAAAAGATGGACTTTGTGCTTGAACAGATTGGAAATTTCAGCAGAGATATGAAAACCATAAAAAGAGTCAAATGTAAAGGCTAGAAACAAAACAAACAATTATCAGAGATTTTAAAAAATTCCTTTGATGGGCTTATAAACAGACTACACAAAGCTGAGGAAAGAATCAAAACATTGGAAAATAGGTCAATAGAAATTATCCATAATGAAATACAGAGGAAAAAAAACAAGTGAAAAAAGCAAAACAGCATCCAACAGCTGTGGGACAATATCAAGTGGTCTAACAATATGTAACTGGAGTCTCAGAAAGAGAAGAAAAAAGATAACAGGGCAGAAGAAATATTTGAAGAGAAAATAAATGGCTGAGAATGCTCCAAGGTCAATGAAAAGTAATTTAATAATCTCAGCAAACTCCAAGCAAATAAATAAAAAAATAAACATTAAGAAAAACAGCCTAAACACATCATAGTTAAATGTTGAAACCCCAAAACAAAGATAAAATCCTGAAAGCAGGCCGAAGGGAAAAGACCATGTACAGGGGAACAAAGATAGCGCAGACATCTCTAGAAACTATGCAAGTCACAAAGAAGAAAATTTTTTTAAGTACTAAAAAAAGAAAAACTGTCAGTATAGAATTCAATATCCAGCAGAAATACTTAAAAAAATTGAAGGTGAATTAAGGCTTTCTCAAAGCTGAGAGAGACCACTGACAGCACACCTGTGTTAGAAAAAATGCTAAAGAAACTTCTTTAGGCCAAAAGAATTTGATACCAGATGGCAAATAAGAACAAGAAAAGATGTTCAACATCATAAATAATTATGGAAATGCAAATTAAAATCGCAATGAGTTACCACCACACCCCTGCAAGAATGGCTAAAATTTATTATTATTATTTTTTAAAAAAATATCTTTTATTGATTTCAGAGAGAAGAAAGGAGAGGGAGAGAGAGATAGAAACATCAATGATGAGAGGGTCATTGATCGAGCCTGCAAGTGGGCATGTGCCCTGACAGGGAATCGAACCCTGATCGCCTGGATCCTAGGTTGACGCTCAACTGCTGAGCCACGCCCAGCTGGGCTAGAATGGCTAAAATTTAAAAAAGAGGCAATACAGAAGTTCATGTGAGAATGTAGAGGAGCAACTGGAAGTCTCATATGTTGAGAATGCAAAATGGTATGGATAGCCACTTTGGAAAACAGTTGGCAGTGTCTTATAAAGGTTAAACACTCACTTAGCATATGACCCAGAAATCTTGGAACTACTATTTACCCAAAAGAAATGAAAACATATATCCACATAAACGCCGTACACCTATGCTTTTAGCAGCTTTACAGCACTTCTATCATAGACAGATCAATGTTTATCAACTGTAAATGGATGAAAAAATTGGGATGCATTTGTACAAAGGCATGCTTTTTAGAATAAAATGGAACTACCGAAACAACATAGGTGCATCTCAAAATCATTAGTTTAAGTGAAAGACGCCAGACACAAATGGTTAAGTAACGTATGATTCCACTTATATGACATTTTCAAAAGACAGCACTATACACATAGAATACAGGCGCCCCAACAACTGAGCCATGCTGGCCAGAGCAAGCGTCCTTTTAAAAAAAAACAAGACAAAACCAGAGGGGCCCTAGCCAGGTAGCTCAGTTGGTTAGAGTGTCATCCTGATACGCCAAGGTTTTGGACACAAGAAGCAACCAGTGAATGCATAAACAAGTGGAACAACAAATCGATGTTTCTCTCTCTTCCTTCCTTCCTCTCTCTAAAAAAAATAGATTTAAAAACATACACAAATAAACAAGAGATCTTATTTGACAGGGCATACTCACTGTCAAAGAGGATGATCCGGCCATCCCCACCACAGGGCTGGGTGTGATCCCCGAAGCAGACGCTGTTGCACTCAGTACTGGCTGCCTCCCCATACTTCCAGTAATCAGGATTGTTTCCACAGAAGCAAGCATAGCCTGACTCCATCCCAGCGAACTGCCACAACAAAGACATAGTACTTAGTAAGTGTCAATCAGGGATGTCAAGTGACCTGAAGGAGCCCAGCAAGGTTGGTCCCCAGCAAGCAACCAGCCTCATCTTCCTAGCCCACCCGTCCCCTGAGACCTCTCCCTTTTCCCATTCCTATGATACTGTATTACACACTGATCAGTAACTATGCATCACCACCGTGTTTCCCCTTCAGTGAACATCCCTTTTAAATGTCTGCAGTTCTTCTGAATTCAAGTAAGTTTTAAGGGGGGAAATCCCAAAAGCTTGAAACATTAATAATAGTAACAGTAAACATTTTATTGAATGTTTCTATAGATAAATAGCCACAGAGCAACTACCTTGAACCTCTGACTCCGACAAAAACTGATGCAGGTTTGTATGGTGAGTTTGTTAGATGTTTTACTGGCACCAGTTAGAGGAGGTGGGTTTCCATGATCCTTGTAGCAGCCAAGGTTTCCAGGCACTGGAGAAAAAAAGAAAAACAAAAGAATTTCACAACATCTGGCTGTGAAACAACAAGAAGGAAAAGCGTTTTGTGCCAGGTACTTTCATCTCAGCCAATATTTCCACTCCTAAGGCACAAATAAATAACAAGCAACAAGCTTTAAAAATGGAAGCCTTAGTATCTTCTGCTAAATGCCATGGTTTTGTTTATTTTGAAGAGTATTTGAGGCCTATATAACTAACCCTATGACATTTTTTTACCTGCTCATTATTGATAGAATTTAGTATTAAAGAGAACTAGAAACATTTTCCTAAAAATCGAAGCTACACTATGTAAATTGTTTCAGAGTCGTTGGAGGGCAGGGAAATCCCTTGGAAGCCCATCGTCCTATGCCTCGTGCCTCCCCTTGATCCTTAAAAAGCTCCCCAAGTAGGTTTCCTCAAGGCCTTTTGGTAAGTGTATTAGTTTCCTATTGCTACTAGAACAAATTGCCACAAACCTAGTGGCTTAAAACAGCCACTCCTTATTATCTTACAGGAACATTTAGGTCAGAAGTACTAAATGGGTGTTATGGGGCTAAAATCAAGGTGACAGCTGATGTTCCTTCTCAAGGCTCAAGGGAAGAGCCTCTGTTCCTTGCCTTTTCCATCTCCTAGAAGCTGCCCCTATTCCTTGGCTTATGGATGCACCATTCCAGCCTCTGCTTCCATCATTACAACACCTTCTCTACCTCTGATCCTCTGCCTCTCTGTTATAAGGACCTGTGTAATTACATTGGGTCTTACCTGGATAATTCAGGATAATCTCTCCATCTCAAACTCCTTAACTTAATCATACCTGCAAAGTCCCTTATTCCCTGTAAGGGATTACATAGACATTTTTTCGGGGAGGGGGGCACATTTTTTGGCCTATCACAGTAAACATATTATTGTTTCACAATTGCACAATCAGATGGTTTGGTCTAGTATAAAAAGCTGTATCTGACAGTAAAGAAACCTGAATATAGCCCGGCCGGGTGTGGCTCAGCGGTTGAGCGTCGACCTGGGATCCAGGCGATCGGGGTTGGATTCCCGGTCAGGGCACATGCCCGGGTTGCAGGCTCCATCAATGACTCTCTCATCATTGATGTTTCTGTCTCTCTCTCTCCGTCTCCTTTCCTCTATCTGAAATCAATAAAGATATATTAAAAAAAAAAAAAAGGAAACCTGAATATATGTACCAACTGTGGTAGACGGCTTTTAAAGATGGCCCTCAATGATCCCCACCTCCTGGTGGTCATCCCCTTGTGTAATCCCTTCCCCTTGCATATGGGTTGGAGTAGTGACTTGCTTTTGATCAACAGAATGTGGCAAAGTTGATGGAATGCCACTTCTGTGATTAGGTTACAAGAGACTGTGACTTTTGTCTTGCTAGTAACTCTCTCTATTGCATTCTTGGCTTATATAGTTTGATGAAGCAATATGCCATGTCAGAGAGGTCATGTGGCAAGGAACTGAGGATGCCCACAGCCAACAGCCAGCAAGAAACCAAGACTTTCAGTTTCTCCAAAGACTGAATCCTACTAATGATTATGTATGCTTGCAGTAGATCCTTCCCCAGTGGAGCTGTCAGATGTGACTCTAGCCTAGCAGATACCTTGACTGCAGCCTAATGGAAGACCTTGAAGCAGGGAACCCAGATAATGCAGATTTTCTGACCCACAGGAAGTGTGAGACAACAAATGCATGCTGTTTTAAGTCACTACATTTTGGGGTAATTTGTTATATAGAAAGAGCTAACTAATACATCAATATAATACATACTAAATATATGTTTATTGAATGAAGGAATGAATTTATTGTAGCCCATGGACATATCAACCTCTCTGGACCTTAGTTTTCCATCAGTGTTATTAATTTATGAACCACTCGACTATCAGATGAAGCCCTTTTCCTACTTTCTCTGTTTGGCTCCCCGCAATTTATATAACTGAAGCTATAATAAGACATGAATGAGGCCTGGTCCTAGAAGCACTTCTAAGTCAGTTAAGAGTCATATGTTATTCAACTCCAAAGTAAGCCATATAGACTCTAAGAAAGTTTTTTCCCTTTGTGTTCAAGCCTGGCAAACTGCATGGTCCAGTTTAATAAGCTTTATATCCACATTAGTCTTTTGACATCTAAAAATATACACACATATATGTGTGTATGTACACACACACACTTTTAATTTCTGCCACCATCTACATCTAACCAGCTCCTTTTAAATTGGCAGGAAGTTTCTCTGCTAACCCAGAGAGCCCCCCTCCCCGTCTAAGCTAAATGGTTACTCTTCTTCCTTACGTCACACGTGGTTCAAATATAACAAATGTGGCTCACCACACAAATGCTAAAATGCATCTTTCGGAAACAAACCAAATCTCTATAGTAGCAAATGTAAACAGAAAAACTCTGGCAGTAGAAACCTAGTGTTCAGGGGGCCTGGTTTGGGAATGGCTGGGTTTTAGAGTTTAAACAAATGTAGTGAGTTAAGCATCTTTAGTGGGGAGCGTATCACATAAGCCAAGTTTGTTAAAGGGACCTTGCATATGAAAACCCAAGCCATGCACTTAATGGTTCTTAATAAGAGCTACTTGATCATGATTATCTTGGTCATTTACTTTGATTTTTGTCTCATTTATTCCATTATGCTCACCAGAAAGCATGTTATTAGGTATTAGTTTATAGAGAGCCCAAGGCACATAATCATAAATGTGAAGATTAGACATAAACAAGGCCATGGGTTGCATTTATGCAGCTGGAACCTATTCACAACAATTCAGCAAGCAAATCCAGGCAGCTCATGTTCCACGCAAGCAGTGAGGTCCTAAAACACATCGTGAGGTAGATCACTGGAAATCAGATCACACCAGGTTGCTAATCCATTTTTGGAATATCAGTGGCCTGAGGTATCATCCTTGCCATTCACGTCAATCACTTGCTGGACACTGTCAGTTCTACCTCCTAAAATATTGCAGACATCTGTCCATGTCTCCCTGTCCACACTGCCACTTACTTGCCCAGTTTAGATCCTCCCTCTTAGATCGTTGCATTGGCCCCCTATTCAATCGCTGTTTCTAGGCTCACCCTACTCTAACCTAATCAGTACACTGCACCCAGAATATCTTTATAGTATATTCCAGGCAGAAGCAGTGGCAAGAGGCCTAAGGTGAGAATGACCTTGGCCTTTGCAGGAACAAAAAGAAGCGAGTATAACCAGTGACAGAGAGAGAAAAGAAACAGGAGCTGGAGAGGTATGCAGAGGTCCTGCTCAAAACCCTCAAATATCCCTGGCCGCCCCTCGGGGTGAAGTCCAAACTCTCTCACATGTTTCACAAGGCCTTGCCCCATCTGTGCTGCTCCCCTTCTCCTTCCCTATCCGGATCACCCCTCTATCCCTGGGCTCACATTATATAAGTAGGTCAAAATAAATCACAGTGTATTTGCAAGTTTCCCAAACACACATTGGTTTCTGGCCTCTGGACTTTTGCACATGCTGTTCCCTCTGCATGGAATTCTCTTCCCTACTTATGACTGTAACCTGAGCATCATTTCCCTGGTGGCTTGAGATCATCAAATGTACTTCAACAAATGGCCCCGACTGGTGTACTATTTTCTTATATTTTTAATCCTCACCTGAGGACATGCTTAGAGAGAGGAAGGGGGAGAGGGGCAGAGGGGGGAAAAGAGAGAGAGAGAGAGAGAGAAAGAAACACTGATCATTGCCTTCTGTATGTGACCCTACCTGGGATCAAACACACAACCCAGGTACGTGCCCCGACCAGGAATTGAACCGGCAACCTTTCAGTGCACGGGGCGATGCTCAACCAACTGAGCCACTCCGGAGGGGCCTGGTGTCCTATTTTAATGTTGCTGTGTCTGACTTTAATATTTAATCTGTCTCCTTGGTTACTGTCATAGCTGCTGAACTCTCAGAACATTTGAACTGGAAGGAGTCTTAGCACCTACTTCTTGCTGCTGTCAGTGCCCGAAGTCTTTGCTTATGCTCTTCTTAATTTGCTGCTTCTTAGGCTTAGAACAAAACCAAGCTTATCAGAATTGTGTGAAAAATAAGAATAGTTTCTAAAGAGGACCTTTTTGCTCCCTACCTTCTGCCATCCATATTAAAGCTCAGGAGTTGTTTTTCCCTGTTCCCTTCCCAGTACCTGGCACTATCTTGAAGGGCAGTAGTGCTATCTTCATCTGCCCAGAAGGTGACATCTGTCCAATGGTGACAAACGTAGGCTTTGGAATCAAACCCTAGGTGAATTGTAGCCCCTTCACCACAGCCTTTCCAAGCTGTTTTATCAATAGTGGAATGAGAAACAATACAGGCCTCAAAGAAAAATTAAAAGAAGATAATATAAATAAAGTAGACACCACAAGACCTGGCAAGATAGTATGTGCCAAGTAAACAGTGTTTATTATCATTATATGGAATAAGGCTTTCATCATTTGCCACACAAACAGGAACAACTTGCTTAGTAATAGAAACATAAAACAGTGTTGACTTAAAAGACAGAAATCAAAGGCAGCCACTCCAGAAAACTGGGTTTGATTCCAGATATTCAAATATTAATCTCTTATATCTATCTGGCCGGCAGACAGCGCACTTTCATGTAAGCATCTTGCATGAAGCCAGAGCCCTTCAGGAAGGCAGGACAGAAGATACTATTGCTGTGTGACAGAGGAGAAACTGGTTTAGTGACGTTAAGGGCCTTGTGTGGGGGCATACAAGATGGAAATGCAGTGAAGCTCTAGGGGTGCAGATTCTCACACCAGGGCTTTTTTCTTGGTATTCCTGGCCCCTTTTCCTGATAGGCCCAGTCTGGGGAGCTAAATGAAAACAACTCCCTGACATTAAAGACAGAATCCTCAAACACGTTAGTCCTTCAACACTCTGCACCACAAAGCCAGCCTCTGAAACAACGGCCAGCCTCTGTGCAGATGCCACTGCCCTCTGAGTTGCACTGGAAAGTGTGGCTCGGAGTCTCGCCGGAG